TTTCCCAGGGCTGTGGAAGGGCTGCAGCAACAGCTTTTTGATTTGCCAATGGATGGGAAGTCCAATTGCACTCAAATGAATGGCACTAAATACAGCAACATCAATTCTTGTTAAAAAAAAAAAAAAAAACTAAGAAAGAGTTACAACACTATTTTTCAATCTTATTTCCAGCCAAGGTTTGACTCTGATATCAAACTTAGAACTTTGGATCAAGGTAGAATAACTTGCACAGCAACATTCGAGGTCAGGATGAATAGGGCTCTGAGCAACCTAATCTAGTTGAACATGGCCCTGCTCATTGCAGGGGGAATTGGACTAAATGACCTTTAAAGGTCCCTTCCAACCCAAACTATTCTATGATCTAGGTATGAGGTGACCATCAGAACATGAACTGTAAATATGCAAACATAGCTAGAAATGCACACAAATACTTTTTACTTAAAGCATTATCCACATGAGGGAAACCTTAGTGACCAGTAACAATTTTATTCTTGATCATTATTACCTTCTGTAATTTTCCCTCATCTGTTCAAACCATGGGTTTAAAATACTGCAGTAATTGAGCTCAATGGGAAACTGAAATGATTTTTTTGTTATATTAGATAAGTGGTTTGATAAAATCTAACAGGAAATGGACTGCACAAGCAATTTTGCAGTGCCATGGAGGCCATCCTTCTGGTTAGTTAAGAGATTGGGGAAAGTAAATCTTGGAAATTCATCTTATTTGAGATACAATAATTCGATATTAAAAGCACTGATCATAAGCTCATTATTTTATGCAATTACTGCCCACTATTCTCAGATAATGAGTCAGTAGTGCCCTGCAATAAATCCCAAGACTCAAGAGCAATGAGCAATAAGATGACTTATTTAGATTATTAAGTAAAGGAATCTACTTGAGCCAAAATCATTTTCTTTTTTAAATGACCCTTAAATTCAATTAAGAGGTCCTGTAAAGACTCATCTATTTACAAGGGACCCATAGTCATGGAAAATTTCAATCTGAAATACAGTTATTCTAGCTTGAAATATAGTTCATATAAAACTTGCTCAAGATTTCCCCTGTGATAATATATTTTCTACCACACCCATTTATCTACAGGCACTTCATCCTGAACTATGTCACACGTTGCCTTTTCATCTCCCACATACATGATCTAGTTTATATAATAACCTATGGTGAAGTAACTACTAATGTCTGGATGCTGAAACAGTATTTACCTTAACTTTTCAATACATCCAAGAAAAAACATCCCTCTTACACAACTGACATGACAAGACCAAGAACTGTTATTAGTCATGTGATTTGACTGACATTTCCCATAGAGTGGTTAAAAAAAGAAAAATTCACATCTAATCTTTCTTCCTATGAAGGCACAGGGTTGCATTGCTGCTTGACCTCTGTCTTGTCAAACAGGAAGTTAGAAACCAGAGTGATGTTATACTAAAAAAAAGAAAAAAAGCTCACAATGTACACTCAGCATTAGATAAAGACTCTAAAGTCACATTACATTTAAATTGTTTAGTCACAGCACTCTCAAATCTCACCAAAAGCGATGAACCCCAAGCTATACAGGTAACACTGCAATATACCCACAGTGCGCTTCATCAGCATCATAGCCATGTCTGCAGTGTGACCTGAGTAACTATTCTAGGTGAACTAAGGAACTGTGGCACAATAAGGGCCAGGACAAGTTGAATTCATGAAGTACACCCAGTTTCACAGGGTGCCCATGGGAGGTTAACTCCAGAAAACTCATACAGCTTGAATGCAAAAGCAGCATTTTCTAAAAATGTTTAATTCCAACTCTGCCATCTCCCATGTGTTAACTCTGAAAGGGAATAGATGATTTGAGTGTTTTTTGCAAAGTGACATTGAGAGATAACTTTGGATACTGATCACCTGGCTGTTCCAGATGATTAGATCACATTGATATTGGAGGAATAGGATACTGTTCAAAAAACACTGGCTGGTCTTCCTTCTGAAGGCTGTGAATAATAATAAATCAAAGTCATATCGGTATCAAGTAATTACATTGATTATCTTCAACTGTCACATCAGGGGATGCTTTTCAGAGGAAAAAGCCAAATGTGCAACATGAGTTCAGAAGAGCTCATCTCATTTTTCAAAAGGTCGGGGGAACTCTGAAAGCTCGAAGTAGCTCACCACTTCCTTGACAAACACCACAATTAAAAACAACTGCAGATACTATTTTCTTTCACATGCTTTCCATTTTATACACTTGACATATCAGGTGTGGGAATAATTTCAAATTGGCAACTAGCATCTAGTCTGGACTACCTCCTAGATGCTATTTTTAGTATCAGAAAGTCTTAGCATGTATTCCGAGGTGACAGTACTACAGTTCAAGTTATCTAAAGCAAGCAAAATTATCTTCCCATCTCTGTCCATATTCTTCTGTGCTGTCTCTACTTGCTCTCAGTAGAAAGTCTTGAAGCAAGTGATTGATCCTCAAGTGAACTCTTGAAATATTCAAGTAGTTTCATAACCACTTTTGCAGTTATTTCTTTAGGGTGAATTATCATGATCAAAGTTCTATACCTATGAAGAAATGCTCTTAAGTGAAAGTTGAATTTGTGTTTTGCTCTGAACACTAGCATTGATCCCAGGGAGCTAGTAGATAGCATCAAAGTCAGACTGGACTTACTGTGAACAGCTTAAGCTATTCAAACACCAGGAATGAAAAATCCCAATGCCTTGAATGGAAAAGAGATCTATTTCTTGAAGGATAATCTGTGCACACTTCAGGAAACATTTAGGGTCGTTTCAAACCTTCCAAGTTGCGTGACAAACTGATTTTGTAAAGCAGATTCTTTCTGTCAGTTCGCATGAGTGACTAAAACGCACAACTGATTTTTGGGGATGATTCAGACCTTATCAGGGATACTGCATCTCTTATTTTCAGTGTATTTTGCTCTAGGAAACACTTACAGTTCCAAGGTCAATAATGAAACAATCTCCTTTGTTGAAGCTGGTCCAAGCCAGGGGGACTTCTGTGGCTCTTACAACTCTCCGGCCCTTGATATGCAGCAGCCTCTGGGCACTCAGATCATTAGTAACAACATGATTAAATCCAGAGGCAACACCACCTGCCTGAATAGAACAAAATAAAGCAGCCAGCTTTATTTCAGCTTGATTTCTGCAAACTTACCTTTCTTTTTTGCTACAGATGAAGTGCTAGCAGAGGAAATAAAGTTTATGCAGCAAGAAGGAAGCCAAAGTAATCTACTGTTGATAATAATCTAATATTGACCACAGACCCAACAGAAACTGCTGCTGATGCTGAACTCTCAGGTGGGAACCTTTAGCCAAGGGAGCAGATGTCACCCTGCTTCAAAGGGTTTCCAGATAAATGGGGAAAGGGAAAACATAGAATTTACAAAACTCTCTTGCATCCTGCAGAGGATGAGGTAATACTGAACCACGCTGTTAGGACAAAAAAGTCAGTAGGTTGTCAAATAAGGACTGGGGAAAAGCAGAGAAATACGCAGCTCCTTTTTAAGTTTTCCAAACTTGAATCTCAGAGGTCCAGGTGGTTTTAGTCCCCGGTTATGTGTAGAGGGATTCCACAGCAGCTCTGTAATTTTATGAAAGGAATATTTGCAACTTAGGAGACAACCTAGCAAGGAGTACCAAACTGGGAAAGTGAGACCAAACTGTTGATTTATAATCTATAAGCATAAATATAAACATAATCCTGTAAACTGGCTTGGCTGTCTGTCTCTGTGAGGCAGTATTCTCCATTCCTCCAGGAGATCCAGACCTTGGCTTGGAACAGAAACTAGCTCTTGAAATTCCGAATAAAAATAAAATGTAAAAGACTGGGCACATTACTCACTCTTTTATGCAAGTAGAGTTAAAAGCTTCAAATTGGTTGTGTAGACTGTGAGAAGTTACAAACCTTCATAATGGGGAAAAAAAGGCTGACTGAGCCACATTTCCCAGAGCTCCTACTATGGAGAGGTTCTCAGGAGATACATGACTTTATTCTTAAAAAAACCCCACAGATGCTGAAAAAAAAAATTCCTTTCAAATACTCAGCTTCTGGAAGTGACACAAGAATGCAAAATTTTTGTGAGAAGTATTTGGGGAGTTTTTTAATCTACCTTAGGGAAAAAAAACTGCAGTAGGACCGCAAAAGCACCATTTTTAGACTCAAGTGAGGTTTTGGTTTTTTTACACTCTATTCATGTTTCTAACCACTTGAGCACACTGGGTTCTGCATTTGAACAAAATTATTCAGTCTACAACATAGAAGTGACTTTCACACGATTTAATACCTCCCAGACACAAAGAGTCCCTGCTCTGAGCTCCCTTAGACACACTACCATGAAATCTCAGGACAGCTTTGTTTTGGAGAAAAAAATAATTGGGAAAGGTTTTCACATATCATAAGAGGCACTGGCAAACTAGCTGCTTCTTTTTGTACAAGCACTGGGACTCCCACAGTTTAAGCTTGGTAGTTCAGATCTAAGCCCACTATGCATTAAGTAACAATCTTTAAACTCTCCATTTACAAAGAAAAACTATTTTTTTGTGTGGGGGACAATGTTACATACAATTTTAGAATACACTTTGACAAGAGTCTTTACCTTGTATTTGATTCCTCCTTTGAAGTAACCCACAAACTCAGTAGACTCATATCCTTGAATTTCTCTACTCTGCACAGGCTTTCCTCCTAAATAGTCATCCATTTGAACAGCAAAGATAGCTGCAGCTGTGCTTTCATCCTGGGTGCATTCTTTCCCTGAAATAAGAGAAAATATTATGTCTATAAAGCATTAATACAACTTTGAATTCTGTTGGAGAAATTGTTTCCGTGACAATCAGGCACTGCCTTCAGCAGGTTGTACAGCCAATGTTTATATGGCAACAAAGGACTACATCATAACCTTGTTCACCACCAAATACATGATCTTCCAGACCATTTCTTGACTACTTGTAGAACTGCATTTATATGGCGGGGGCAGAAGTGAAAAATAGCAAAGTTTGTCTTCTCTTAGCCTCTTTAAACAAAAGAATATTTCAATTGAGTTTAGCATGGCAACTGTCAGCCATAATGATTTTGGGACTTTGAGTTGAAGTGCAAAGACAAAGGAAGGTCATGTCAAAGGACTGTCTGGATGGTAAACTGGATATTTATGCTAAGAACAACTCTCTAAGCTATAAAGCTAAAATAATTCAAAAGCAGTCCTCTTCACACAATAATGCAAGCAAGACAGTTTGCCTAGTGCAGCTGGGAGAAAGAAAAGCATCTGTGGGGCTCCGATATTTGCTTCATGAGGTCACACTTCGTTTTGTACCTTTCAGAGATTAGCCTCTTCCCAGGACTGTGGCAAAATGGCCTCTGCCTAGTGTGCTAATGGCTTAATCATGCTACAAATCAGGCTGTATATTAAACCAAAGCTTTTTACAAATTTCTGATGAACATTTTCAGCAGTTTTGATCATGTCAAGGAAAGCATAAATAGGATCAAGTCTAAAAAAAACAGGCTTCTCAAAAACTTTAGAAAAATAAGGAAAAGTGAGGTCTTCAATTTAGATTTATTTTTCTTTCTAAATAAGAGGGAAAAGCTGGTATACAAGCAGCAGTTCTCAAGAGCAGCTTCTCACTTACATTAACCATTTCTCTGCTTCGAGGTAACTAAACAGAAAATCAGCATAGAGCCCAGACAGTCTGGACAGAGGTACCTCTCATAGGCTGCAGAAGAACGGGAAGTGTGTAGTGAGACATTGTGTCACAGGAGGCTTGTCAGTAAGGTATTGGTAAAGAATAAACCATGAGAGAGGAGGGACAGGAATGCCTAAGGGCACGCCCTTCTGCTGGGGAGAACGAATGCCCTATTCATGTTCCAGCATGGCAAACGCCACAAGACAAGTCCCCCATCTCCCACCAATAGCCATGGTTCTCCCAGGAGCAATGACACCACCACCACAGCTTTTGTGGAGACACAGGTGATATGGAAGCCTCCAGAAAGCACCAAGGACGAAATAGGGAAGGGGTCCGAAGAATAATGGAGGCACAGGAAAGCAAAGAGCATTAGGCCTACCCAAAAAAGGTAAAAAAATAAATTACTGAAAGCAGGATGTAAGACAACTTCTGGAAAAAAATGCCCATCACTCAATAATAGAATATCTTGCTATTTGGCAATATGCTTTCTCAGACCTGGGTACCACCTTAAAGCTGGCGGCAAAGTTTTGGGGGTTTGGGGGATGTTTTGTTTGTTTTTTAATATGTTATTCATATCCATTAGGACTAGATCCTTCTGATTTATTGTTTGCAAACACAACAGGGTTTAGGGTTGAGGAAAAATGGTTTTAGAACAGTTTTAGAGATAAGAGTTACTACCAGTCTTGGTCTCTCTGCTGCTATGCAATACAATACTCAGAGAAACTCCGTTTAAAAAAAAAAAAATCGAGTGGGCATCAGTCCAAGCATGGGTTATTCAAGTTTGTATGAAAAACAGATTTACCTCACAGTCTGATGCACAAACAGCCATAAATAAGGCAGAGTATAAAGGAAAATGAAAAAATTTTTACCAGATTAAATCCCAGGTCACACAGACAGATCTTATGACTACATCTCTGGGGAAAAGGGTTAAAAAATAGTTTAAAAAAAACTATGCATGATTTTATTAAAGATATTAAGTGGGGTATAGCCAGTCTTACTCCCACAAGTAGCCTCATACTGGCACAGTACATGCTGTTTCCACCAGTGATAGTTTCAAGTCCAGACAGCTCCCTTAGATTTAGTAGTTTAGCTACTAAGGCATCTCTCAAGTACAGACAACTGAGCCAGGATATCTGAGCCAAGTTAAAAATGGATACAGCTACCATGACACAGATCTGCATTGATTGCTCAGCCATGCCAACATTGCTGCAGCACCTGAGTTAGCTTGTTCAGAAATGATCCAATCTCAACATGGAGAGGATGTTTGGTATGTGATGTATGTGACATATTTGCTAAAACAGTGGTTTTCCCATAGGAAACTTCCAGATGACAGAACAACTATTAGGTCACTTTAACCCTAGGGTGCCAACCACAGCTCAAGACTGTCAGCACATCAGTCACAGACCATCCTCCCATGGTCTAGACCTCCTTCTAACCCCCAAGCAAGGTATTAGGAGGATGTTTGTCACTATATAATAGGAAAATTGGATGCTCTGCTTTTATTCTGAATTTGTTTGTTTTTTTTTTTGCTGAAGTCAGAATCCATTCACACTCAAAGCCACCATATGTGACCCCCACAATAACACACACCATAGATGACAGGCAGGAGTAGAACTGTGTCACCAAATGGCAAGGCCCTTGTAAGTATCTAAGCCCAAAGTCTGCAGGGTTTCCACCTATCTAACTTCACGAGAGTTCACAAGGGGAGACTTTATCATTCTCTACAACTACCTGAAAGGAGGCTGTAACCAGGTGAGGGTCAGTCTCTTTTCCCAGGCAACCAGCAGTATGACAAGAGGGTACAGTCTTAAGCTGCACCAAGGGAGGTTTAGGTTGGACATAAGGAAGAAGTTCTTTACAGAGAGTGTTATTGGACATTGGAATGGGCTCCCCAGTGAAGTGGTAGTCACCGTCCCTGGAGGTGTTTAAGGAAAGACTGGATGTGGCACTTAGTTGACATGGTGGTGTTCAGCCATACGTTGGACTCAATCTCAGAGGTCTTTTACAACCTAGCTGATTGTGTGATTCTTTCTTTACATCCCAAAGTCTGATAGTGACTGCTGTACCTGTCCAGAGACTGCTTATGGGAAGTCTTCATAAAAACCCTACTGCAGTCTTCCTGCCCACAGGTTATGCAGTCTTTGGTCATAAGGGAAAAGTCTGGTGTACATACCAGCAGTGTAAATCAGTTAAAAATACCAAAGTGATTCTGTGGTTCTTGCCCTGCATGTGACTGGCTCTCCCCATATACCTTGTTTGAAGTTCTGATCTCCTGTTCATTTTATGAGTGCAGCAGTGTTTGAGATTCTCCACCCTGCTACTGAAGTATCTTGCAAACAGTAAGGGATTGCCCAGCAGCGAGCCACCCTATTGCCACCCTGCCAGCTGCACAACAACAATAGATACCCTGATCACCTGAAGCCATTTACAGTATCTGCATATCACAACATCAGCATGTACAACTAAAGCTCTTTAGCCAACAGCAAAGAGGTTTTAATTACTGCAAATGTCAGCCACTGTTTTTCTTCACTTCCAAAGAATTGCAGAGTCCTTACAGCATTTCCTGGGAAGTGTCTACTAGACCTTAACTACAACATAAGTAGTTCTAGATTCATTAATGAAGGTCTGAACAGCCAAACCCTGCTATTAACTAGCAGCACTGCTGACAGAACTGCCAGAAATTCATTTACATTGCCATCTATGATTATACTCTCACCAGAGACAGACACAATCCTGCTTGCCATCTGAAAAACTCCTGCAAAACTAAACACATGCAAAACTAAACACACTTCTAGCATTTATACAGAAGCAATCCCATCTTTGTATGCTATTCTTTTTTCAGTGCATGCAAAAGTACAATGAGAACCGCTGCAACTCAAACACAGTGTTAATACACATTGACTTATCTTTGTGTGCATTCATTGAGATGATTGCCTACAAACACAAACTTGATGGTGAAACAAGAACAAAGTAATAGGTTTCAGACAGCTACACAGCAATCACTGTGACTGGATGACTTGGTGGCCAGATAGGGAAGTCATAAGATACCTCCAGGAAATGAGGAAGTCACAGAAAATGCATACTTATGTCAGACTTCTATTTTGATGTAAAGTATGCTAGTCAAAGTGGAAAGCAAAAGACATCAGCCCAGTTCCAGTGTTCCCAGCAGGCTGTCAAACTGATACTAAAGAGGTTTTACAAAAAAAACTGGTGACTTTGCATCTGATCCCTGTATCATCAGAAAGCAGAATTAGTCTAGCTGAAAAAGGCAACACCCAGCCACAAACCAGGTCAACAACACCACAGGGAGATGGCCAAGAGGGAATCTTCATCCAAGTGGAAACAAACACAAGAAAACTCTTGATGTGAGTGAAAGCAGGATTTCACTAGTAAATCTCTGTTGGGTGCACCCAAAACTGGACTTTAACCCTTCAGCACTTCCAAACTAACATCACAGAGCAAGTGTTCACTTTTCTGCTGCACCCCATTGTCCCACCACACAGACCGTCACCATCAGAAGGGGTGAACCTCGACATCACTCTGATGCTTGGTGGCAGCCCTACTCCTGTTTCCACCCGGAAGCTTCGCATCCACTGCCCTTCTCAGAAGGGCAGGGAAAATCCAGCTCCCAATCCCCCGGAACCCGGCAAGAACCTACGGCAGCAGGAGTGGGCACGATAAACCTCACCCACGGCCCCGACCCCGGCCCCCGCCCGCTCCTACCGAGCCAGTAGTGCAGGCGATAGGCGACGCCGGACCCGCGGCGCTCGGTGTGCAGCACCAGGTACGCGTCCCCCACGAAAAAGTTGCCGTGGAGCCCGGGGGGCACCGCCACCAGCTCCAGCTTCTCGACGCGCCACACCTGCAGCCCGCTCTGTCGCCCGGCCTCGGCGAAGGCCGGCGGGGGCCGCTCGGGAGCCATAGCGGGACACGGAAAACCAGCGCAGCGGGACAGCCGGCACAGCCTTTAGGGTGAGGGGTGCGGCCACTTATATAGTGCCCAGCCGGGGCGGGGCGGGGCCGCACCGGCCCCGGGACGGGTGCGGAGCGTGGTGTAGGTGGTGGGATGCGTCTGTCCCACCCCTTTCCATCCGCTCCCGGGGTCGGAGGAGCTTTTGTTTAATTATTAATTTTTTTACACCCCTGCAAAACTCACCCGGCGTCCTTTTTTCCTTCTGTGCCTATTGTCGTAGCAGGGGTGTTATAAAAAAACAAACAAACAAACAAAAAAAAACCAGCCTCCCTCACTGCAAGCAGAGAATGTGTCTCTATTCTAAAGTAATAAGAGAAAAAAAAAAACATAAACGTCAAGAAAGCAAAGTACAAGCGGGCTAACCCAGTACCTACGGGTGTTACAGTGCTGTGCAGTGTGTTTCTATAATTATCACATCTGCCTTGTTTCTGTAAGCTGCTCATACCGGAATACAAAGAGTTTCCATAGCTTGCACTTGGGCTCTTTTTCACCCCTGGCTGGAATGGCAGAGCACAGCTCTCATTTGCCCAGTAATCCCACTATCATTTGTCCAATATTGCTAGCAATCTTTTTCTAGGTGGAAAAATATTTGTGAAGATTTTAGATGAAGCCAATAATTTATATAAATTTCCTTTCTCTTTCTTTTTTTTCCAACACTATGCAACAACCCAAGAGGTTTAAACCCACTTCCTACTTGTTTTTCTCATTTATAAATGGTTGGTATATCACCATGCCAATCCCAGTTTTCTTTGCAACAACTGTTTTCATCTGATATTGATAGGAGGTAGATCGGTCTAGATACAATACAGGTAGATGCAGCTCAAGCTGTCAATATATCAAAAGATACATTTCAGAAAGGGTTTTTTTTTTAGTTTTATCATCTTATCCACCTGGATGAATTTTGAAGCTCATGATTTCCCCACTGGGTGGTTTTATCAAGTTAGTACCAGAAGAGTGCAGAACTGGGCTGCCTCAGTAACTGGGAGAGGCACTGCTAAATGCAACAAATCAACTGGAGAGCATTTTTGAAAAAAAAAAAAAAAGTTAAAAAAAGCACACCACAACTAAGACATTTGCTTAACTATTTTCCCTCCTTCTCTTTATACAGTCTTGAGGAAAAAGATGCTGTTACACAATGTGTATCTTCTCTCCCATTATGGTGAACACCCTCTCATCAGTACAGGCACCCTAACCTTTATCCTCACTGTTTAAAAAATGAAATTACGAGTGCTCTATTTTGTCTAAGGTTCAGCTGAACATGTTACAGCTCACCTTCACAAGTTCACAGCCAAGCATTTTATCCCTCATTCTGCCAGGGCTGCAGTAAGCCTGCTTGATAAATCACAATGCTTCCCAAAT